TTACTGCCCAAGAAGAATAAAGTATTTTTTGCGTTTGTGTTGTAATCATCCTTTAACTTAGGTCTACAAAGGAAACTCCATGTACAGTATCGAAACTTAAATTTATTAATTATAATACAAAACTGATAGTAAAAGAAAAGAAAAGAAAAGGGTTCACAATAAATTGTACAAACAGTGGGAAATGAATTTACTTTAAAATCTTTAGGCTAGGCCTATTACAATGGTTTTAATTTAGGTTCAAGTGTTATGTAACTTACTGCAAGGATCTTTATCTCAGGTGGGGTGATCGAGCGGCATTTGAATTTAATCTTGTGATATAAGCCTAATTAAATTTTGTTTTAAAATATAAAGTATGTTCGAATTATAGATTGGTTGAACTAATAATAGTTCTGAATAAGTTAAACTGCTATTAGTTCTTGACTTTGAATTTGAGTACAGATGTCCAAAGGTTAGGCCTAAAAAAAGTTTTAATGGCTTCCAAAGGGAAAAATGTCTATTGGAGTGATCTCACCAAAATTGATGTCTTCTTTGCAGCAAAATTCTTGATGTTATAAATGATTAATGTTCGTAACAAGGATGGGTCTTCTTTCAACAAATTCCACAAATTTTGTCCGAATAATGTACTTTTTTATAAAATTTTGATATTAAATATGTAGTTTCCAATTTACATCTTCATACTATCTTGGCTCTATTGGAAGTGATGAAGGTCTGATGCATTGTTGCACTCACATATGTCAATGCTGACTTAATCACATAAAATTGTAGGCCACTGTTTACACATATATATTATAACAAATTTCATTTGCTATAGAGCTAGCTATCTTATAATTTTGAAAAGTTATTTAAATAAAATTATAATGAATTTGAAGCAATTTTGTTACAAACGTTATAGGCTATTATATATTTACATAAAATTATGTTATTTGAAAATTTCTATATTATATTGTATTAAATTGATTACATATTGGTCTGCATGGACAATTCATTACTATATATGGTTTGAAAAGGGATTGACATTTAGATAAAATGAAAAACATATGGTGGAAATTAAATTATTCTATTAAAAAAATATTAGTGAAAATATTGAATTGTTACAGTGTTTTGCAAGAAAATACCTAATTCGCATAAGAGTGTAATTCGCTTAAGGACAATTTCAGAATGCACTCTCAAAAACTACCTGATATTTGTAGAAAATTAAGGAAATCAATAACCACCCGAAACGCACGATCAACTACTTCTGGCAATGTTTTGAGATATTAAATTTTTTTGAACTAGTTACCTAGTTAGCCTTTGTTCTTGCAGGATGAACATAATTATGTTAAACATACAAAATTTAAGAAAACAAACCTCATAAGGTATTGAGACAACTATTTGTGCAATTCTCTCAAAGCAGGCAAGTCTTTATAAAGTAACATTTGCTAATAGCATGGTTCCAAAATCAGACCAAGATTGAGAAAATGTCGATTGGTTTAGGTTCAAGGTCAGGTTCAACCAGAACTGTGGTTTCACCAGATGACATTAGCGAGCAAACACAGGAAAAATACCGATACAAAGGATATGTATGTAAAGTCCACATCTTTACTAATGAAACTTTTAGATGTTGATAGTTCTGAGCGAAACTGATGAGTTAAATTGATGAAATAGTTGTATTTTGTATTATATATCTATTTATTTATTGCTTTATTACAACCATGAAACGTGATCACTCTGCTTAACAAGCTTTCACTGCTTTGAAAGCAATCCTAGTAAAATAGAACTATTTATAAAAGATTCATACCCTGTGTAGTGAATACAATCTTACTTACTAAGAGGAGCTTTGCACAAGAGTTCAATACTCCAAAGAACCAGGACCTAGTGGGGTGGCCGTAAGAGTTCCACTAATCGCTCTTATATTATTATTGTTACAAAACATCAGACACACATGAAAATTTATTCACATATTAATTTAATATCGTATTCAAAATCGGACAAATGACATAGTAATAAGTGAACAATGCCTTTATATTAAAGGCTGGAATTATCTAAATCAGCAGTAGGACTGTCACCCTATAGCCCATCTTAAATTGTTAAATATAAACAGATTAGTATAAAATAGTCTTTTTGAAATTTTTAATACCAACACATCTGATAAAAAAGTTGGATTTTGATTTGGGCACACCTCTTGAGACAGAACTTTCGCCCTACTTCTTCCATTGATGTAGGGTAAGCTTTACTGCTGCACCATGTTCCTACAGGTAAAGTAATATGATTGGGAGCCAACTAAAAATATATGACATTGTGGTACAATCATATCCTGTAGTTACTAATACTTCCTTGTATGGATGATTTTTCTAAACATGACTGAGAAGGGTATTTATTTATTGTAAGGAGGAAACATATCTGACATCCTACGAATTTACTGAAGGAGACTCTCAAAAGATACGAATCAGTTCTCACCTTTGCAGTTTTACACAGTGAAATAAATTTCAACTTTATATTTTTATATTTTAAGTTAGGAGCAATTCAATATCAATCATACTGATACGCTTCAGTAACAGTTAAACAGATTTAAACAATTACTTGGAAAGAAATACTTTTGATATGAATACACTTTTTATATACTTTTGAAATTTGTCCTGGCCTTATATTACCTTCGTGTACACCTATTTCTTTTTGCTTTATAACACTTTAGAAACAGAATGAACCAACCAGGCGCCTCTGTGCTAATTTGTTGACAGCGGAGTTTCGTTAAACTTTGAGAACTCCACTCCATTGATCCTCTCCTCCCGCCAAAAGTCACGTTCCACCACCGTGTTGGCTCTACATGAACTACTCCATTAGTCCACCTACTCAATCTCACTTTCGAAATAGTATTTAGAAACTCAACTCCATTGATCCTCTCCTCCCGCCAAAAGTCACGTTCCACCACCGTGTTGGCTCTACATGAACTACTCCATTAGTCCACCTATACTCAATCTCACTTTGGAAATAGTATTTGGAAACGCGACTCCATTGATCCTCACCTCCCGCCAAAAGTCACGTTCCACCACCGTGTTGGCTCTACATGAACTACTCCATTAGTCCACCTATACTCAATCTCCCTTTGGAAATAGTATTTGGAAACTCGACTCCATTGATCCTCACCTCCCGCCAAAAGTCACGGTACACCACCGTGTTGGCTCTACATGAACTACTCCATTAGTCCACCTATACTCAATCTCACTTTGGAAATAGTATTTGGAAACTCAACTCCATTGATCCTCTCCTCCCGCCAAAAGTCACGTTCCACCACCGTGTTGGCTCTACATGAACTACTCCATTAGTCCACCTATACTCAATCTCCCTTTGGAAATAGTATTTGGAAACGCGACTCCATTGATCCTCACCTCCCGCCAAAAGTCACGTTACACCACCGTGTTGGCTCTATATGAACTACTCCATTAGTCCACCTATACTCAATCTCACTTTGGAAATAGTATTTGGAAACTCAACTCCATTGATCCTCTCTACCCGCCAAAAGTCACGTTACACCACCGTGTTGGCTCTACATGAACTACTCCATTAGTCCACGTATACTCAATCTCACTTTGGAAATAGTATTTGGAAACTCAACTCCATTGATCCTCTCCACCCGCCAAAAGTCACGTTCCACCACCGTGTTGGCTCTACATGAACTACTCCATTAGTCCACCTATACTCAATCTCACTTTGGAAATAGTATTTGGAAACTCAACTCCATTGATCCTCTCCTCCCGCCAAAAGTCACGGTACACCACCGTGTTGGCTCTACATGAACTACTCCATTAGTCCACCTATACTCAATCTCACTTTGGAAATAGTATTTGGAAACTCAACTCCATTGATCCTCACCTCCCGCCAAAAGTCACGTTACACCACCGTGTTGGCTCTACATGAACTACTCCATTAGTCCACGTATACTCAATCTGTATATACTTCTGTATATACTCAAGACTGTATATACTTCCGTACCTATCATTCATTACATGTTTAGATGATATTTGAAAACTCCACTACATTGATCCTCACTTCCCGCCAACGTTGACAGCTATCAAAAGCTATTAACTTTGGTAGTTGCTGCACTGAGGTGTACTATTATTAACTTTTGTGAACACGTCAACTTTAATATACCGTACATAATGTTAAGTAATCCCATTCATAAAATGCTTACGAGATATGAATCTTAGTTTTTAACAAAAATTAATTTATTCAAATACAATTATGTGATTTCACTGTACTGATAATTTTTGTAATAATTTATAGCAAAAATTGTATCGAATTGTACGCTGATAGTAAAAGTATTTTTAGTGGTTTTATTAAGAACTGATGGGAACCTATGTTTACAGGCAAGTACACACCAATTGATCAAATAAATTGAAAAATATATTTATACAAAAAAATCTAAAATTCGTGTAAATATAATAATGGGAAACAACAAAAATCAATCATAATCTGCTAGCCAACTGAATTAGACAAGCAGTTGTTGGTAACTTGCTTAAGTTAGTATATTTCAACTTTGTCTACCTGATGCTACCTGCCTAAGTGATCATTATTAATGTTTTTTTCATATGCAGCTATAGTAGGTACTTTTTGAGGTATTCAATTTGGTAGTCGTAGTTAGAGTGATTTGTTTAGGCGTTACGTTTGGGAGTTTTAGATACATTAAGGAATAACAAAAGAAAAGCATTTAAAAGTTGCCAAATAGATTTAGAGATTATTACGAGTAATCGTTTGTAATATTTTCTACGTAGTTAAATTTCATTCGCTTCTTAAAACTGAAAAGTAAAAAAGTTAAATTAAAGTTGATAATTATGAAACATAAACCCATTCTTCCAGAGAATACTTCATTGGCATTTAACGTGACGTTTTAAACCCACTTAATGGAAGGTAAACTGTATAGTTAGAAAGAGGCAATTACTGGGGAGTTATTGAGAAAGCAGTGTCCATCTTGATAATCCGGTTAGAAGGGAGGTATCAATGGGTGTGGGAGGTGAGGGCGCGCCGGCGCTGCGACGACCTCGGCGTCCGTCAGTCGACTGAAGGTCTCCGCGCAGACCCCACGGCATGGGAACATGCGAGGAGGCAGCTCCGAACTCCTCCTCGACCCGCAGGTCGAGCTGAGGAAGAGGAAGCTCCTTGAGCTGGCTCAACCGAAGAAACACAAGAAACAGAAGAGAAGTTGCCGAGAGCGCGCGTGGTTCTACGCGACGTCCTTCTTCGTGATGTCCGCCGTGTCGGCCGGCTCCTCGTTGTTGTTCCTAGTGCCTCTGTACGTGGACCCGGCGATATCCACGTTGGTGGCGGACTTCATCACCAGACCCGTCACCTGCGTGACGATGCGACGCGAAGATCACCTGGGGATCTTCAACTGTACGTGGAGCTCTTGTCGCGAGGGTTGTACCAGCGACATGTACCGCTGCACACACATCTACGTGTCCTACACCGAGCAGGAGGACAACTCATCGCTGGCCACTCCCGCTACCGTCGTGGACGCCGTCCTGCTGGTCAACATCAAGGGCTGCGGTTACCCTCCGGACATCCAGTGCGCCAACTTCACCGCCTCCTACGGCACGGAGGGCGCGGAGTTCCCTTGCTACTACTCCCGCGAGAACCGCACCGTCGTCATGACCAAGTACGACAGGGACGCTCAAGTAGAGGTGATCATCAACTACTTCGCGATACCGTTTGTGATCTGTGTGGTGACCTCGGTGGTGTTGTGTGTGATGCATTGCGACTGTAGATGCACGCCTCAGCCGCAGCCTCCCCGAGGCTTCCGGAGGTCCAGAGTGGAGGATGCCAGGTGAGTGCCCTAACTAGCATATTGTATCTCTAAATCTAAGCATCTACAGATTGTATTAGCGTTATTATTTTAATTATTCTTTTAAAACTGTAAATGCTACGGAAATCGTTGAACCAAACACAATCAGTGACACCAAGATATTACACAATATGTGATGTATAATCTCTTTACAACTTAGATATCATGAACCATGTAACAACACTGACATATTAATTCATAAAACAGAACGATGAGGTAAAGATGGACTTAATAATTTTCGCGCACAAAGCACATACAATTTTCAATAGGGAATAGAAGTTTATTTTAAAATAAAGAACCTATACAACCTTGATTTGTACCTTGAAAATATATCAGTGCAGTTTAAACTACAGCACATGAAATATTGTTAAGTATATAAATAAGTCGTCATATTTTAAAAAGCATTGTTTTAGTATAGTACTTTTTAAACTCAGTATTTAAAGATTACTTTGATAGCACCAACTAAATATAAAACAAATACCCCCCGCTGCAGCAAACCTGCAGAATAAGCGAATGTCAATTAATAATATGTCACATTATTTTCCATTTAAAAAAACATTAATTATAATGAGTACTTAGGTTTGATTCTACAAGGGAGATGTGTAACTGTTGATTGGTATGAATTAAATACATTTACAAAATCTTATCAAATTATATCCACAAACAAACAAATTACATCAATATACTTAAAAATATTCCAAAAATATCATAGGAATTTTAACTTTGATATATTTATTTTCTTTGCAACTATAAAGAGTGTATTAACGCTTCAACTTACTTAACTATTAGCTTTTACGTTCTACAATACGGTATGGAAAGAAACTGCAAAGTTTATGTTTTGTGGGTCAAAATTGGGGAAAAACTAATTTTCTACCTATAAAACCACGCTCCGATAGTCCGATCATGTTGGTTTCACAATTCCGTTCGAATAAATGTAGGTATTCTCACTCTCATAAAAAATGTAGGTTGTGTACTAAATCTCATCAAAATCATACGATTTTTGCTCGCGTCATCGTGCTACCGCACATTCAAAATAAATAAATGACTTTGATATTATATTATATTCGTCTCCTTGGGTGGTTAGTATGATTCAAAACCTTAACTAATAATGTGTATAGCTGATTAAACCACAGTTGCTTGAGCAATACAATTAAATTCTATTCCACATTTAACGTTTTAACTGTTTCGCCTATTTACAAAATAATGGTAAAACTGTAAGGAAATCTCTGAACGCAATAACTTGCTTTCCTTAGAGGAAAATCGAATCATTAAAATATTTAAAAGTTGTTTCATGTCTTAGATAAATGGCAATAGCCACACTAACATTTTATTTTGTAATATGTTTCCATTGAGAATCTAATATTTTTCCAGAGCACCGTTAAACTTATTTTTTGTTCTAGAAAATATTGGTACTAAAATGTAGGGCCTACGCCATATCAAATATCAAAGAATAAATAATTTACACCCAAAAAATATAACAAAGAAATATATTTCGTAACAAATTTACTAAAATCTCAAATTTAACCTTTTATAATGCACATTAAAACTATGCATACGATTTAAACTTTTGTAATATTATTATAAACGTCACGTAGCCTATGACGAAGAAATATACTTTCTATAAACAATAATGCACCAATTTTCTTTCTATCGTAGCCTATCGTAGCTAACTGAAAATATTTACTTGAGAAAAACTTACATAACATGAAGTATAGTGGAAAAAAAGGAAAAATGATTCCATTAAGTGGATTTTGTATACATTTATTTAAATGGTTTATATTCATTCAATACGATTGGAAATAATAATTCTCATAAAGCAAAGAATAAATGAGACAAGAGAAAATAGTCATTGGCAGGTAAGATTTTTCTACAAGAGCTAAAATCAAGCTAACTTAGTTAATACCGAAGGTTTAAACTAATATATTGTTGTATACTATTACAATCACAAGCCAATCTCAATTACAAACCGAATCCGAATTCGTTATCTAAAAGAAAAAGGGTGTGTCTTGAATTTGCATGGAGCAAAAGGAAGGAAAATGGAGGTAGAGTTTTGGAGGGAGACGGGAGGAATGGTGAGGCGGTCTGCGTTATCAGTAGAGCTAGCGTGAGGGGAGAATCTTTATCATCTTTCTGTGACAATTGAAAACAAAGGGGTGCTTCTGACGATTGACTCTTTTGTGGTACAAAAACCACCCCTGTGCAATATTGCAAATACTCCGAGGAAAAGTATTACATAGCAGCCTTTCAGTATGGTGGGGGTATGAAATTTATTTAACCATACAAAAGTTTTATCATTGACTTTTGGATACTCTTTTATTCACTAACCTAGCCTAACCTGATGGGTATTTGAAGTATTTTATATTTCTGTAAAAATTCACGTTGGACTTTTAAGTTGTTTTTGATAATTGAGAAAAATGAATGGGACATAATGAAACAGCTTCCTTTATTGTGATAAACTTTTTCAAGGTCAAAAAGAACAGAATATAATAAACTTGGATAGATAACTCTTTTTTTGGTGCCTGAAGATAGACTTTAGTAGTCCTAGTATAGTACTGTACTATAGTTTCGGTGTACTATAGTACTATAGTTTCGGTGTACTATAGTACTATAGTTTCGGTGTACTATAGTACTATAGTTTCGGTGTACTATTGTACTATAGTGATCACTCGACGGAACAAGGCAACTCAAGCAATTTAACTTAAATTCAGTAAACCAGAAGCCAAACCACCTCAGAACTCACCAAAAGTGTTTGGTTAGTGACGATCAACATGTACCTTCTTGTGCTATTAATGCATGTTTATTTAAACATAAGGTATATTTAAGGTAAGGTAAATTTAGTGCCCTACTGTTAAATAAACATTACATCGTTTAATTTGGAGAACATCTGAAAATGTACGCCTTATTCAGTGGTTACAAAATATAACACCAGATACAAATTATTAAAAGTATGTGGAAATAAACAAGAAAAACAAAAAATAAATATAAAAAAACTACAAAACTCCACCTAAGGCTACATAAAAGTAAAAAAAAATGTCAGCTCTTTTATAGTCATCACTCATCTATGTTTGGCTAAAATAATCTAAGCTCACATACAATAAAAACATAATTAAAAAGCATAAACGTGCTAAAGCATATAACCGTAAGTAAAACAATCATTTGCCACAACTATTCCCAAGGTGCAATTTGTCAGTATTAGTGACACTCGCAGTCTGACTAGTGGTCAGCTGATACATTAATTACAATTAATTGGTAAAACAGGTGTTCAACCTAACCTCAGTCTCCGCTGTGGTCTCCCCTCCCCCCCCCTCAGCACCAAACACAGGGTTGCCAACGTTTAATCCCTTGGTTAAGCCACAGTTTGTCACCACTGCGAAAATTGTCTCTGAATTACTGAGAGTAAATAATGTTGACTTCATAATGTAGAAAACATTTTTATTTTCTTAATTGCCATCAATGCAATACACAACTAACTCATGATCATCATGGTAATCGTAAACATAACCATATTCTTTTGCATGAATAAAATGTGCTTATTTATTATTTTTAATAACTATATTTGGGAGCGATTCCAAGATGTTGACTTGATTCTAAGATCTGTATCTTGGGATGACAGGATTTATTTTATTTAAACACCAAGACAAACAAATAATGGCATAGCAAATCATTGTTCTACTAGTTCAAAGTATTATTTAGTTGATCTTGTCTAAGAAACTACAGGAATAAATTCGGAAACGGTATAGAAAATGCACAATGTATGTGTTATAGTCAAGAGAGAAATTGTGTCGTATGTGTTTTTCTCTTGTTGACAATTTGGGATATGATTGAATTTTTTGTAATATGAATTAGAGAAACCCTTTATAGTTTACTCTTTCTAAAACTCGAAAAAAGCTCAGTAAATCCGTTGGAATTAAATTGTTACCGTTGGTCTAGAAAGATCGCCATCAAAACCTGCAATCATTACTAAAGTAAGGAATATATTTAATATTTAATTTTCAAAGAATAACTTGAACTCATCACAAAAAAATGAACGAACGAAATTAAATATTTAAGGAACTGACAGTCATGAGTTCTGCCGCTTGTGGTAATATTGGGAACGGCAATCCCCTTGATAAAACGGGCGCTATTTTTATTTCTCAAACCGCTAACTTTTATAACTTTGGGGTGATTTTTCGCAGAGGCGGACATTACATGTTTTTGCTCGTTTTTAAATGCAAGTAAGTTACTATCCATCATTTACAATTATTATCAGGACGTTACAAACTAAGTAAATTTTGTAGGTAAGTGTAGACTAAATACACAAATACATTCGAACTAACTGTTCGTAATTTGAAGAATAAATCAAAAGATAGATTTGTGATGAAATATTATTCTTAAAAAGAATACTTGTGACAAGGTTTAAATTTAATATCTTGACAAAATGTATGGCAAATCCTTCTTAATTGCACACTTTAGACGCGTGGCAATGAGGTCACACATGTTCATGGTCTCGGTAGTTTTGAACAAGGTTTTTTACGTGGTGTCAGGTGCAGTAATTGAATGTATAAACTAATACACTTGCAAAAATTTCGATGTAACAAAACTAATAAAACCAGTGCCAGTATTCTGCGAAAAAACTAAGCCCTTCATTTTAAAAACGTGGGAAAACAAATTCCACATAAATTCTATCTTACGATTACTTAAAATTATCAAAATATGTCTACATTTGAGAGCAGCACGAGTCACAAAGTATATCCTAATGTGATCATTAATGTAGATGGATGGATAGCATCGACCATTTACGATTCTCTTCCTTCCGCAGACCACGGCTGGCAAAGCCTATATTTAGAAATCACGTCATTTGACAGCATTAAACCACACGACTGATAACATAACTGATGCAATATGATGCGTTCACCACAGATAGCATTATTGTTTATACATCACTGTGAAGCTGACGAGTCGATAGCTGCTTTGTCATAGTAACGAATTTTTAATGGTATTGA